ATACAATTAAAAAACACCTGATGGTTTAACTGATCATATTTGTTTAGCTTAATGGTGTTATCGCATGGAAATATTGTTCCTATCGTGGGTTTGATTTGTAGTGGAAATAAATTTATTTTTGCTCCATAGACAACAAAAGATAAAACCTAATTCAAGCGTGTGGACCTCTTCCATACCCACGGTATCTTTTTAAAACAAATCCATGACTTTTTTTTATTAGTTATTTGATTTTTTATTTTTTTTATTTTTTTTAATATTGGGTTGTTGTTGGGTTTTATCATTTGATATTAAATTAATTGTAAATTAATTTTTATAATTTTTATTATATAATAAAATAAAATAAGTTATTTAATCTCAAAGAATTCATAATGAGTTTGCAAGTTTAATAAATAAACTAGGATAAACTTAGCCTTCTTTTTTTTTCTTGAAATGTACTTGGATGATAAGGTTATGTGACAGTAACTCTCCCGATTTGATTTAAAAACTGGCTCAATTAAGAGTTTGGTTAAGATTTTTCATTTGAATTTATATCTAGTTTAATAATAATATTAAAAAATTCTAACAATCATTTAGATATTTTTTTTTTATTTTTCGGAAAATCTAGGACCAACTACAGCGAAAACATGGGCTATAAACTAGTTACATTTAAAAGGAATGCCTTGCTGGAGAAAAGAAAAACATCAAATGGATATAAAACTGTCGTTCAACCCATTATTCAAAAACCATAAGCCCACGTTAACTATGGAGAAATGTAAAACGTCTGCTTTGAGCGAGCTTTGCAAGGGACAAGATTGGTGACACGGGCCATCTTAATTTTTTTTAATATAAAAAAATATTCAAGTAATATGTTTTGAAGAATTTTGGGAAATTTACAGCTTAAATTATAGGGTTGATTTTATTTAATTATATAATAAAAAAAAATAACAATGATAAATAAATCACATATTTTTCAAAAAAATAATTAAGATAATCTGCACACAAAAATGTTTGTCAAAAGAGAAACAATTATAAAGTTTAATTTTAATCAATTTAATAATAAATAATAAAATAAAATAATAAATAAAATGACTCGAGTCAGCCTGAATTAGTATGTCGAACTCGTGTCCTATGATACTTGCATAAAAGAAAAATTGAGAAAAATCATGATTTTCAATTCTTAATAAATCAAAAATAAAAAAATAAAATAAAAAATATCTTAAAAAGCAATAAAGTTAGGTAAGTTCATCAAGCTCAACTGCCCAAATTATGTAAACATGATAACTTAATAGAAAAAAAAACTATGAAACTCAATTCTTGACCCAACTCAATATTGAAGGATGAAACCAAAAAAATATTCAATTAAAAAAATAACATAAAAAACCTCGAGTCAACCTGAGTTAACCTACCAAACTTTCGATTTAGATAATGGAACTAGGATAACGTCATAGAAAAACAAAAGTGAAGAAAGTCACAAAGCCAATATCCAACAAACATACTATTAAATGATGAAATTAAAAAAAAAATTATTATAACAAAAAGACCTAAAAAACACTATTGTTAACTCGGGTTAACTTTTCAAACCCGTAACTTGGAGCATGAAAACGAAATCAATCCATCAAATAAGATAATAAAGCCCAACTTCCAATAAACCTACTGTGTAAGGATAATATTAGAAAAGAGATTCAGTGTAAAAAATAAACTTAAAAAAGACAAATGTTAATCTAAATTAATCTTTTAAACTCATAACTCGGGTTATAAGAACTGGATCACTTTATTAAAAAAATCATAAAATCTAATTTTTAATTAACTCAATATCAAATAATAAAATTAAAAAAAAATTAATTTTAAAAGAGACCTAAAATAAAAAATAACAATCAAAATAATAATGACTAAATTTGAAACAAAAATAAAATAATAGGATATCTTTTAATTTTGGCATACAAACACAAATCCCAAAGAAAAAAAAAGAGAAAAGAAAAAGGAAAAAAAAAAAAAAAGATCGTCAAAGCCTCACCATTGCCCCTCCGTTAACACACACTGTACTATTGACAAGAGCTCATTACCCAACTTCTAACACTATCATGAAGTAAGAATTTTTGCCGACAAAGAAAGTTGCATTTGCAAATAAAGCGTGGTGACCTCACCCTACGAGATGTCACGTGTAGCTAAGTTGTTTTGCCCGTCCTTTTCAATACTTAAAGAATTTTTAGTTTAAAATTTGATCCGTAAGCCTTAATTAATTTATATCAATAAAATTAAAATAAATTTTGCAAAACCTAACATCAAGCACGCGTTAGAATTCTTCCTTGACATCATGGGATTCCTGTATCTCGGCAACCAAAATAAACTATCAAGTCCAATCATAAATAAATTTAATATAAAAAGATCACATTGAAAAAAATCCAGTAACAAAAAAAAAATATAAATCTCTCCTCTACCTATGCAATCCAATTCCTGATGTTTGCAAGAAAAAAAGGGTTCAATACTTGTCTAGTATTCAAAGTTAGTTCCTACAACTTTAATTCAATTTAACTTCATTTAATTTTTTCAAATCTAGCATCGAGACTTGATTTTGTTGGATTTTGTTTCTTGACATTACAAGTAGCCAATACTAAGCAAAACAAAACAAATAACAAAGCTTAATTGCAAATTAATTTAATATATATAGATCAAATCATAAAAAAATTGATAAAAATATATATATATATATATAAAAAAAGAATCATGGTGTGAGTCCATAATGTTTCCTATCACAAAATAAGTTAATATTGTTTGTTTTTGTATTTAGAATTGTGATTAAATATATTTTAAAAATATATTTAGCTTGAAAAAAAATAAAATTAATGTTTTTTAAATTTTTTATGGTGTATATTTTTTTAAATAATTTCAAATAAAAATAACTTTTTCGAATCTCGTATCTTTTATTTGTTTTTTTCTTGGCAGGCGGATATGGGTCCACGACAGATTTAAAAGCACAGCTTAAGCCCTTCTATTTAGGACGGGAATAGTACGGGAATAACATGATAACATCAATCGACAAATTATATTACAGGGTATATCCAAGGGAAAGAAATAGGAAGGTGAAAGATGTAAGAGATCGTCATCCAGTTATGACCCCATCGAAATGTGCCAAAAATGAGAGGAGAAAACAGGCACCCTCCTCTGAAGTCAACCAAATTTGACATTTCAGTTTCTGCAAAGCAATACCACTTCTTTGACTCACAAACTTTGACCCTGCCTAAATAAATCCTGCACGGTTATGCCCGTAGACCATTTCCACTTTCCAACAAAGAAAATTCAAGGTGAAGGTGGCACCATTCTCATATATCATAGATGAACCATAACTAAAGCAAGCATGTGAAGAAGTGAGCGCATCAAGATCTACTGGAAACCGTTGGATGCATGTATCTTAACAAAGTAGACAAACATCAATGTATGCTTGTTCAAATTGACCAAGCATTAACTAAAACTTTTCACAAATACGAAGTTAGTGATTCACAAGATCATACGAAAGAAAGCATGCAACTTGCTAAATTCAAAGGGTTATAGCTAGATTTGGTAAATATGAAAGACAACGCTCACAATCGAAGAATCAAATAATCAACAAAGTAAGCAAAAATGTTGCTGCAAGACAACTGCAGAAGATTGAGAGAGATTTATATGAGCAAGGAGAGGCAGTGATCAAAGCTACTGGAGATGTGAGCAATGTTTGCGACTTTCTTTTAGATATTCATAAGCTGCAGATAACTATTTAGCCCCACCAACAAATGGACTTGTAATTACCAACCCTACCACAACCACACATGTAAAAGTAATTGTTCAAATTGTGTCCCCAGAGGATTATGATACAAGCGTGTTACCGTCTCATGTTACGCTCCCCAAAGATTAAGAGAAAATATTTCATCGAGGCAGAACAGACCGAAGAACAAAAACAGGACAAGAATAAAAAGGTAGAAGTAAAAAAGAACACCAGCATCAATTCGATGCGCGCGCACACCTGACTTTTAATCCTAATAGCGACCGGGCTTTTTATTCCAGAAACTAGTTCAATTCAATGGTGATCCTCTCTCTGATCAACCGTTCTGTATTCTGAAAAGATGTCTATTGCACCAACATACTTTCGATTTTAAATGTAAGTTTCCATCTTCCACCATTTCCAGATATTCAAAAAATCAAATTAAAACCTCGGTTCCCGAAGTTTAAAATATCACATTTTGGCCATCTTAGACCGAGCTTGAACTTGGGGCTGTTCTGTATTCTGAAAATATCACATTATAGCCAAGCAACACCAAGACTTCAAGCAACTAGACACGATTCATGACAATGAGATGCTATTCTTTTGTTTAACCTCACCCCTCGAATTTTAAACAAACACTGTTTCAAGAGCAATTAGGTCTTGAAAGCACAAAACGGATGGTTCCAAGCTGACATTCAGTCACAATCATAAGGTATAATGAAATAGCAATACAGGGCATGGAGTCCTAACAATGTTAGACTCAGAAATGCTGGCCAAACATTTTCAAAAGGTCAAGTCTGAGGAAAAGTGGCTTAAACCTTGTCCGTAATTTGCAGGATGAAAACATGCACCAAAACCTATACCTTTCCATGATTAAGCATGAAATGTTCTTGAGCACGAATTATATGAAAATAATAACACAAGGAAATAATGAAGTCAAGCTGATGAGACTAAACAGCTTGAAAAAAATCCGCGATGTACTTGTATTGCAAACAAAACTTGGAAGGTGCTCTTCAAAGTTCCAACACCTTTCACAAACATTAAGGATAGCAAATGTTTCCTTAACACAGGTACAATCAGAAGAACAAATCATATTTATCTTCTTGGAAAGCAGGTATGAAAATGAAGTAGACAGAACATTCAAAACTAATTGCTGCAACAAGATAGCCGGTAATGAAATACAACCAGCATTTGGCAACAAACAAAGCATCATTATCAACAATTGAAACAGTTGAACAACATGAATTGTTCATTGTATAGGTCATGGAACAAAGAACAAAAAATATAAAAATAGAACCTGAGGCATTAGAATTCCTTATCTGAGAAGAATCGAACTTCAAAGCAACTAAGGTTTAATCCACAAAAGTACAAGTACATAAGAATTCTGTGCTACAAAACCTACATGCTAAATTTTGGTGCCTGTAAGCCTACCTTCTTTCATGATACAGCAGTCTTAGATGTTACAGCTCCTGTTCAGGTGTCCAGTCAACTTGGGTCTGAACTTCGCTACATCACCCAAGTAACACTTATCCAAGAAACTGAAAATAATTGAAGTTACAGATTCTAATCTCAGCACAAGCTGGAAAACTAGTATCAACTATCAACAAAACATAATGACAACAAAAACAAAGAGAAACTTTTCAGAGACCACTTACGCAAACCGTATACTTGAGCATTTTCACAACTGAAGTTCCTGCCAATCACATATGAGCCTCCACAAAGAATGTACCAGCTCCTTATCAAACACAGAACTCCGCAAACAACAATTTTATCTCATGGACTATTGATCCCTCCATCTTGGACTTGAGAAGGGGAAAAAACCTGAAGGTGATAATGGAAAAAAACCTGGAGAAAGTGGTGGTTGAGGCCCTGGACCTAAAACCCCTGACTGGGCCATTGGTGAAAATGCAAAATTTGGTGTCAGTGGACGAAACTGAATCCCAGGAGAAAGTAGAGGGTAAGGTGACCTGGGAGACAATAAATTCATGTAACCAGTAGGAGAGGGCAAAAAAAATTGAGATGTTGGCGAGGGTAAAAGAGGAGGACCATTCATTCGAGGGGAAGGGAGATTGGGCATATATGGGACAGGACCATTCGCTCCAGTTGTGGGTACTGGAGGCAGATGTGGATTCGCAAGCAGACCACTAGAAGGCTGTTGATGTTGAGGCTGAATTTGCCCTGGATCTTGAGGTGGTGGTGGATGGGATTGTCGTGGAGGTTGAGCTTGGTTTCCCCAAGAACCCGGGTCTATAATTGAATTCTGAAGATAACGCATGTATGCCGAGATTGGAGACTCGGCTGTGTTTGCCCAACCTGAGTCTCCGGGTGTCAATGGTGGCGTCATTGTTGGAGAAGGTAGCCCAAATTGGCTGGGCGGGGGCAGCATCCCTGGCCTTACAAAGGCATTATGATAAGGAACCGGAGGTGGAGCCACTGCTGGAGCTGGGAATGGAGGAGGAACATGAGGTCGATTAATAGGTGTTAAAGGAGGCGGTCTAATCTTTTGCAACCGCATGCTTTGTGGCTTAGGTGGATTATTGGGAGGTCTAGGCAAGGGTTCTTGTGATGGGGAACCGGTTAGTTGCTGAACAATGTTCCTAAAGTCATTCTTGCTTATGTTGTAGACCTGAGGTTGAGGCTGTTGCCGATTGGGATTGTTAGCAAAATTGGGTTGGTGCAAAGGACTCTTCTTTATGTTCTTGCCTATCTTGTTCACACCCAAATGATCACTCTGCCTGTTTTTCGAGTTATCCATTGTTTTATATATATATATAAAAAAAATCAATCCAAGCTTACTTCAAGAAACCCAATACCAATGTTATGATATAGCCACAGAATCAAACCATGAAAGGCCTCAAAACAATACCCACAACTCCAAAATTTATGCTAGAATATGCTAGATTCTAATTATTTTGATTATACCCACAGTTTAAGGGTATCACCATAACTCCAAAACGAAGTTCAAAAAAAGCCTACTAGCTCAAATCAGGTCGAAAGAGCAAGACAAATAAGGATTTAAAGCTGATATTAAAGAGAGCATACCCTTTTAGTCTTGTCTATCCAATTCTAAAATCTTCAAAATGGACAGAATCAGCTGGAAAGCTAGACACCTCAAAATTCAAATCCCTGGATAAACAAGGAAGGTACAAAATCCAAATCTCCGAAAAAAACTTAAACCCGAAAAAGAAGACACTCAACAGAAGCGATCAAAAGACAAATAGAAATTCAGGGTAAGCCCCGCCTAGTTTCCTTGGTCAATACAAGAAAGAAAGAAAGGGAAAAGAACAAGTAAACGCAGAAGAAGGCAGGAAGGTAGGGAGCAGGCTTGACTTGAAAAGCAGGAGAGAAGAATCCGTACGGGTGGAACACTTGTGAATATCCAGAAAGCAATCAAGCAAAGAGAGAAACTTAAGAAAGAAACCCTAAGAATCACGGCGTTGTAGAAGGAGCAGGGGGTCAAATTCAATGGTGGACAAAATTGAAAACAAAGAAAGATTGCAAATTGGAATTGAATTATCTAGGTTGGTGAGAGAGAGAGAGAGAGAGAGATTGGGTGTGGGGTCTTAAACACACAAACTAGTAAGTTACGGTACAGTACAATACAATTGGACTTGGTTGTTGTAATATTAATTTATTTTATTTTATGTTATCCGTGCTCTGGCCCTGTCTCAGGTTTGAAACCTCGTTCTGGATCAAGACTTTTAGAAATTGGGGTTTTTTTAATTCTAACGCATTTTAACAAAAGTTTCGAGAAAATAACCTTTATGAATAAAATATTTGTAAAATAATACAATTTAAATATAATTGTTATTGAAAAGTAATAAAAAAACAATTATATTAGAATTTTTTAGTTGATTTTTTTAATAAATTTATTTAAAAAAAAAATATCACTATATATTCGTTATCTTAATAGTAATAATAATGGTGTGCAGAATTAAAATTATAAAACATGGTTGTGCTGAACCACTATTTATAATAATAATTTTATATAGAATTGATATGAAAAAAATTGGTATATTTAAACTATCTTATTTTTCTAATACTTTTTGAATATATGTCATTCTTTCAAAAAATTTACTAAATTATGTTATTTAAAAATAAAACAATCCAAGAAATAGACTAGTGGAATGTTTAAGATTGTGGTGAAAATTATTTTTAATTTTTTATATAAAAATATTTTTTAAATTGATACATATTAAAAACATTAGAAAAATTAATTTAAATAAAAAATATTTTAAAAAACACAGCTGAAACACAAATAAACATAGCCACCATAATAAGTTTGCAAGTGAGTCGACTTAGTTTTTTTTTTACATTAAAAAAATTATAAACTTTATTAATGTATTCTTTAATATAAACATTCCTTAAAGTCATATACAAATATCTTGTATGCCAAATCAAATGCCACAAGTCTCCCGAGGGATACTTTACGAAGTGTAATTTTAAATTAAAAGAACTTTAAAAGATTCGTTATTTTTAACTATTAATAATCTCACGGCGTTAGAAATGGAAGGCCAGGGTTAAAAGACTGTCACTGTATTCCTAGAAGTAGACACTGCAACTCAAATGACTGTATGGGCTTACCCTTGGCCTGTAATAACCGGTATTCTAACAGGAACTGACCTTACCTTAGGACAGCAACTGTAGCTGTATCAGGCGGGAAAGGGCCCGGAACTTAGCTTAGAATGTTCATTCAAAGGGTGAGCCGGGGATTACAATTATCTTCCTAATCCTTCTTTCGCACGGTAGGCCCCTTTTGCTCCTATGGAGAGAGCTAATGGGAATGCCATTACTTCCGCGAAAGCTTGTCTGCCCGGCCTCGCTACTGGCTGCCTAGTATTGGTTATTTTTTTTTTAAGTTCTTAAAGTTTTTTTTTATTATTTCATTATTAATTTATTTTTTTAATTTTATCCTTGTATTATTTCAAATTTTGACCTGAGAATTTTGTTTTCAATTACGCTGCTATGAGATTCTCGTGGCGTAAAAAAATTCGCTCCTATTTAGTTAATATTTAATTTTATAAAAAAAAAATCAATTTTATTAATTGATTAAGAATATAAGGATCCAAATTGAAATTATTAGCGAAACAAAGATTTTTTAACTATTCAAAATGTGCTTATTTTACCTTAAGATTTTGTCAAACTTTTTTTTATCTTTTTAATTTAATAATTATTCGTTTTGATGTAAAGCTCTTTTCATTTGAGTTTTGAAATAGTTATAAAAAAATAACCGATAAAAAATAAAATGTTTAATTGGTCACATTCTAGCAATCAAAATTAATAATCTTGGTATTTATAAGTTATATTTGATGAGAATAATTTGAAGCTAATAGTATTTTATATATATATATATATATATATATATATATATCTAAAAGGTATATCAGATTTCATTTAGATATTTTAGATTTGGTTGATTTTTTATTTTTTTTTGTGATTTTGAAGATGTTATGGATTGATAAATCTTTCACAAAGATCTTTATTGTATTTTTTAAAATGTTTTCTAGTAAAAATAATTTGAAAACTGAGTTTTAGATTTAAAAACTTGTATCTCAATTTTTCAATTACAAAAAATAATTAAAAAACAAAATAGGAGCCAAGAAGTCATCTGGCACCATAGGTTATTGCTGCCTGTTTAAAAAAAGGAGCTCTTGAGAAAAAAAAAATTAAAAAAAATCGCACACCTAGCTTTTTTTTTAATTTAATTTTTTTAATTGATTACAAATATTATAAAAATATTAGTTTATTGAATTTTTAAATTAATTAAAAATATATTTTAGATATTATTTTATTAAATAACATTCAATTTTTACTTTGTTTTTTAATAAAATTATAATAGTTTTTTTATAATATCAACATGTTTTTTTTATAGCTTATCATTATTATTTTTTTCAATTTTATATAATTTATTTTCTAATAATATATATTTTTATTTTTACATAATTAAATAACATTTGTTTCACAAAAATAATATTTTTAAGTTGTTTAGGTCTATAATTCCAGTTGCAGTTTTAATGAGTTAGTTAAGATTGGTCTAAGTTAATTTAAGATATTATCATTTTAATATTTTTTAAAAAATAACTTTGGATACATTAAATTTTCAGTTCATAATCAAAATTTTACTTTTAAATAAAAAAGACAAAGACATTAGCAACTCCTGCATGATTTTTTTTCATTGGAAAAATATTGTCTAACTTTCAGTGAAGCATGGTATTACCCAATAAATCTAAACAACCAGCAAAACACTGTGAATGTGTTTATTGTTGATCACTTCATGTTTAGCTAGTCATGTCATGGTTTATTGTATTATTTTTATTTATAGATTCTTTATTTATTTTTTTGTTCTTTGTATTTTGATCATTTAACTCTCTCTTTTTTCAACATAGTTCTCAAAAGTTTTTTTTTTTTATTGTTGTATATTTAAAGAATTGTTTTAATCTGTATCTTTTTGTGTACTTAAGATATCAGAGAATATTCTAATATTAAATGAAGGATTGATTTTATCAAATGTAATTTTAAGTTATTATTAAGAAAAACAATAAAAGAGTAAGCTCCATAATCAAAATAAGCAAAACAAAATAGATCCTTTTTTTCTTCTGCATTGTTCGGAAGGCGTGGAGAGCTTTGGTTTGTCCCTTAATTATTAAAGTTTGCTAATTTGCTTCTTATTCTTTAAGGATTTTACATTTAAATCTTAATCTTTAATGTATTCACATTTCAGTCTCTAAATGTTGAGAGATAAAGGAGAGAATCACCCAAAAAAAAAGAAAAAAAGAGAAAAAAAATCTATTTAACCACATTTCAGTCATAAAAAACCAATCTCTGTTTCAATAGGATCATATTAAAGAGATATTGTCCTTTATTTTTTATTTGGTTGATTTCTATGGTTTTATAGCAATTAAAGGGAGTTTTGAGGTAGAAAATTGATTTATTAATATTTCTATAATGTTTTTAGGTGTTTTTAAGTGAAGAAAAAAAATGAAATTTAGGTTTTCATATTCCAAAAATCTAAACTCTATTGTTCTAATAATTAAAGATGATAAAAAAAAATAGTAAATAAAAAATTATTTATCTAAATGATAACATGTTATCTATCCAGACAAATAACATGTTGTTCATTTATAAATAATAATAATAAAAAAAACCCATACATGCCTATATTTTTTCCTCCTCGACCAAGCATGCACTGTAGCTATCTAAGCTCAACACCCCTAGCTTCTTTCTTTTTTTAAAAAAATGAGGCATTAGTTTTGTTTTTTAATTTGATTTCTACTAATATCCCCTCTCTCATTTTTTTTAATTATTTAGGTTTAAAAAAATAACAATCAATCTTTTAAATTATTTTATAATTTTATAATACATTTAGAAGATTGTTGTAATTTTTTTAATTTTTTATAGTTAAATTTAAAATAGATCATTTTTGCTTGTATTATACATTTATTAAAACAAAAATTATATGTATTTAGCAACTATAGTAAATCTTTAATAATACCAATGCTTTATTTTTTGCATTCAAAATTAACTTAAAATCTTTTCCACAACAGTGTAACGCATCTACGTTGGCTAGTGAATATCTAAGCATTGTTGAAGACATATTGATATTTGGTAACGAGGAAGGTTACATTTAAACAAATGTGTACAATTTAGTCACATTCCCTTCACTAATTATGTCAAATTAGCTCTCTCTTTGTTATAATTATAATATCATTAAAATACAATAAAAGAAAAGTGATTTTAGTATTTACTTCTCCCTGAAGCATTGTTCACTTAAACAACACTTTGTTCGTTTATTTGTTTTTTTTTAATTTAATTTTTTAAATATTATTATTAGGTTTAATTAGAAATTAAGATTTATATTTTTTTTATGAATTTATCTTGATCTAATCATCTAAGTCATGAGTTTCATTAATTAACTCAAGTTGATTCTAGTTTTTTAAAAAATTAAATTAATTTATTTTAATTTTATTATTTAATATTGAGTTGATTAAGAATATATTTTATAGTTTATTTTATAAAATTATTTTTTATAATATTAGTCCTTTTTTTCCAGGCTTCCACAATGAGTTTTACTCACAATAAAACAAAAGATTGGCTCACAATAATTTTTTTTTCTTATTAACGTATTTTTTAGCTATTTTTTTTGTCATACCAATATTAAGACGTAAATGAATAAATTAGTAAAAATCTATTCAATAACCCATGAGGGGGTGAAGTTGAGGTGTTTTTTTCTTTTGTGAAAATCAAATGGGATTTCAACGAGTTCACCAGACTAAATAATAAGAATACATATGGAGCATTGTATCACGATCTGAAAGAGGGACTTGATTATGGGTTCAACTGATCCAACATTCCATGAATATTTTTTAAAATTATTTCTATTAATGTTTAGCATTATTCCATGACATATGTTATGAGTTGAGAAAACACAAGTTGGGATTATAAGAACTTAATTGTATGGCCAAAAAAAAAAAGAGAAGAGAACATCTGAGCAGGATGAGGTTCTAGATTCAAATATTGGAGAAGAACTTGCTCTCCCATGCGATTATGGTCTAGTCCAAAACTGAACGAGAAATAAG